AACTCGACCCTAAACATCAAACCAAAAATAGGTGAAAAACGGTCTCTTATCAAGTGGGAATTTTTGTCATCTAAATCGTTCTGGTTTCCAAATATTCTGCCAGTTAAAATGAGGCACTTGGGGTAGATGTTTTCATGCATGCAGATGAATGCAACAAAACTGACTATAAAAATTTGCCTTGTCCAATATAGGAAAGGGATATTAAATATTGACAGAGATGAGTGATCTTCAATAAAAACTTACCATCAGCCAGCTAGTGTTAAGGGCAAAATAAGCATGCCCTGTGGCATGCCGCTGCTTTGCAGTTGCCTTCCCTGGTCTCTGGAAAACCTTGGCAGCACCCAGCTTCTACTGATTTGTTCCAATGTGCCAAAGTATAACAAAATGCTCATCCATCATGATCGGCTGTCCAGGACAGTTTGGGACCTGTCTTTGATGGTTGCTCTACTTCAAGCTGCAAGATAACAGGAATCCTGCAAAAAAATGTAACAGCAGCTAATAACCTGGTCTTCAAAAGAGGGAGAGCATCTTGCCAGGCAGTTGCCTTACAAACTTGCAATATTTTGTGCATCCAGAAAACAGCAAATGTGGAAGGTGTCCTTTCCCTGATTACCCCATCAGTGTAGTCCACATCTCCTTGTTTCTACAATGCTTTTTCATGCATAGCTATGAGAACATGCACTGCTGCTGTGATAAACTCTGTTCTAGCAAGAATTTGTCTGATATTCGTCAGTACCTTGCTGAAATACAATGTTAGCATCTGTTACTTAATACCTGTTAAAAACAGTCTTAAAATATATTGTGCTTTCAGACAGGTTTATTTGTAATGGAATAACATTTGCACTAGTTACTGATGTAATGACTGTATAAATCTAAGCAGATGCAGTAATGAGCCTTCCAGGCTTCTTTATCTGAGGAGTTTTGCTTCAGAGTATCTAGGATATTTTGGGAAATTGTTTCTAGAAGTTCACTTCCCCACGGAACAGACAAAAAAACCCCAACTAGTTCTTCCCTTAGCCAAGGCATAAAAAATACTTGTAACAAATGTAAAACCTCAGAACTGAGAGTGGGAGGAGGAACACTCCAGTAACACCATGTTACTGGTATTCCAGAGTAAACTCACAAACCCGTCACCAGAGCCAGAACCACACTGTCCTGCTGGTAACGTCAAACTACGACACAACAGCATGTGTTTCCCTTTTTCAAAAAACTTTAATACTCCTTATCAGTCCAATACTTAGAATCATAGAATCGTAGAATTGTTTAGGTTGGAAGGGCATGTTAAGATCATCAAGTCCAACCACTAACCTAGCGCTGCCAAGCCCATGTCCCTAAACACCTCTTCTACCCATCTTTTAAATACCTCCAGGGATGGTGACTCAACCACTTCCCTGCACAACCTGTTCCAATGTTTGATAACCCTTTCTGTGAAGACATTTTTCCAATCAAATCTAAAGCTCCCATGGCACAACTTGAGGCCATTTCCTCTTGTCCTATTGCCTGTTATTTGGGAAAAGAGACAGACCCCCACCTCACTACCACCTCCTTTCAGGTAGTTGTAGAGAGCAATAAGGTCTCCCCTAAGCCTCCTTTTATCAAGGCTGAACAACTCCAGTTCCCTCAGCCATTTTCTCATAAGACCTGTGCTCCAGACCCCTCATCAGCTTTATTGTCCTTCTCTGGACATGCTGCAGTGCCTCAATGTCTTTCTTGTAGTGAGGGGTCCAAAACTGAACACAGTACTTGAGGTGGGGCCCCACCAGTGCCGAGTACAGGGGGACGATCAGTTCCCTAGTCCTGCTCACCACACTATTCCTGATACAGGCTAGGATGCCATTGGCCTTCTTGGCCACCTGGGCACACTTAAGCTACTTGAGCATCTCAGAGAAATCAGTGAACCTCGATAATGCTACAAGGAGCTGAAGAGATTGATTTAGATAACAGAAACTGTGTAAGGTGAAAATCTTACATAAATTTGTTGTGTATGTTCTGAAGTCAACAGAAAGACATAGGCACATCAAGTGATTTGGCATATGTTAGGATGGTTTTCTTCAAGTGAGATATATGTCTGTCTATTGACTAAAAAGGAAGCAAAGATGACTGGCTTAGAGGATGCATCTCACTTTTAAATGCCTCCTAGAAGTAAGAAGAGAGAAGTGAGATGCAAAGGCATATTCTTAAGCCTCCCGAGGAGCTTGAAGCAGAACCAAAAAGCAAAAGGCTTTTGACGCTGTGTCCCATAACATCCTCATTAGGAAGGTGTGGAAGTGTGGGCTAGATGAGGTGACAGCGAGGTGGATTGAGAGCTGGCTGTGTGACAGGACTCAGAGGGTTGTGATCAGTGGCACGAAGTCTAGCTGGAGGCCTGTAACCAGTGGTGTCCCCCAGGGGTCAATACTCGGTCCAATTTTGTTCAATATATTCATTAATGACCTGGATGAGGGGACAGAGTGTATCCTCAGCAAGTTCACTGATGATACCAAACTCGGAGGGGTGGCTGACACTCCAGAGGGCCGCACTGCCATCCAGCGGGACCTGGACAGGCTGGAGAGCTGGGCAGAGAGGAACCTAATGAGGTTCAACAAAAGCAAGTGCAAGGTCCTGCACCTGGGGAGGAAGAATGGTAAGCACCAGTATAGGTTAGGGGTGGACCTGCTGGGAAACAGTTCTGAGGAGAGGGATCTGGGGGTCCTGGTAGACAGTAAATTATCCATGAGCCAGCAATGTGCCCTTGCTGCCAAAAAGGCCAATGGAATCCTGGGCTGCATAGGGAAGAGTGTGACCAGTAGGTCAAAGGAGGTCATTCTCCCCCTCTACTCGGCACTGGTGAGGCCACAACTGGAATACTGTGTCCAGTTTTGGGCTCCCCAGTTCAAGAGGGACAGGGAACTGCTGGAGAGAGTCCAACGAAGGGCAACCAAGATGATTGAGGGATTGGAGCATCTCCCTTATGAGGAAAGGCTGAGAGAGCTGGGACTCTTTAGCCTGGAGAAGAGAAGGCTGAGGAGAGACCTTATTATTGCTTACAAATATCTAAAGGGTGGGTTGAAGGAGGATGGAGCCAGACTCTTCTCAGTGGTTCCCAGTGACAGGACGAGGGGCAATGGGCACAAGTTGGAACATAGGAAGTTCCGTTCCAACACACGGAAAAACTTCTTTACAGTTTGGGTGACAGAGCACTGGCACAGGCTGCCCAGGGAGGTTGTGGAGTCCCCTTCTCTGGAGATTTTCAAGACCCGCCTGGATGCAGTCCTGAGTAATGTGCTCTGGGCAATCCTGCTTTGGCAGGGGAGTTGGACTAGATGATCTCTAGAGGTCCCTTCCAACTCTGAAAATTCTGTGATTCTGTGATCTAGCTCTCTCATGACCTGCTCTAATAGTTTATCCACTGGTCAGTCTATTATGTGTGTTACTTATTTTACTACTATTGATACTATTTATTGCTTTTATATAAATTTTATATAGATATTTTATATGGTGCTATTTAATTTTTTTATATTATTAATTTATTTTATTAGCATGTGTTTTAGTTTTCGCTTTACACTACTATTACTGAATCACCATATAGCTACTACAGCATACATAATAAAACAAATTATAAAGGGGGAAAAAGTATGTAGCAGCTCTTAAGATAAGTTTATGTAAAGTGGTAACCAGGTGGGAGAAAATTCTTTTAAAGCATCTAATTCTAGCAAAATCATGTACCGTGCCTTAGAGAATTTCTTTGCTGTTTTGAGAAATGTGGTCAACTTAGCAGAATGGGGCTATATATATGGCTATATTGAAAATAATACACGTTAGAGCAAGGCATTGTATCTGCAGGGGGGAAGCAAAGAGCTAGTATGTGCTGTTAAATTAACAGTGTCAAGAAAACAGACAGCTATCTTGTATTAAGCTTTTCTTTGTTGAAAATGTACATTTGTTCCTAAAACAAGCAATACAATAAGCAGAAGATTGGGCCGCATTTTTCTAGAAGTAAGGAAATGGAAAGGGACACAAAGAACACGCATGGGCAACTCCTATGCCATGGACAGGATAGTTGCCACCTCCTTCAGTCAACATTCTCTGCAAAAGTTTTCTCTCCCTTAGTACTTTCATTGGCCACTGGGAGGAAATTAATGCACAGGGTTCACCAACCGGAGAAAAACTTATTTCCGGTCAGCTGATAAGTGATTTTGCCTGCAGGGGGCTGCTAAAAGTCCTGTGTGAAGAGCCCACATAAGCATATCACTGAAAAATGACAAAGCTGTCAGCTTGGGTTGATGTCTGTTGCGTGGAGGCCATCATTTTCTGTGAAGTCATTGTGGACAGGTAGCTGCAAGCCAAATTCAGAGTCTCATTCATCACCCTTTAGATTTGGATTTCAGCTACAGCTATCACACATCCTAGATCCACACATCCTAGGTCCCAGCAGGGACCTCATAAAAGTTCAGCATCTGGATCAAATGGCTGCTTCAGGTGAAGCAGATGATTTCTTAAGGTTTGAATTTGTTTTCACTAGTGCTGTTGTCTTTTAGGTAAATTGACACAGTTGGCATCTGAAGAGGCTATACTGATTTTCTTAACCACGTTTTATGATTACTGGCAAATAATAGCTTTAACCTCTCGCAGAAGGGAACAGTGACTCTAGCATACAACTGATCCAAGCAGACAGCTCAAAACTGCAGTCTACTCTTTCAGTCAGTATAAACTGACAGTGTGATTATGTACCTTCGGAACAAGTATTGCGCTTTGGAATGGCTCAGGAAATATTTACCAAGCGTAATTATTATTTAAACACAGCACCCACAGAAATTTCATCACTCAAACATGTGAATGAGGTGTTTTATTCCAGTAGTTCTTCCTTGGTTATGGAAATAACATTTTCATGTTTAGACAGTATTAAAGCCTGCTTTTAAAAATGCTTCAGTGGAAATACAATATACGTGTTGTTTCCATGCTTGATGCTTTTTATGCTTGTTTCCAAAATAGCTATTTTTTTCTCCTCTATTTTTCTGCAGCAGTTAAGATCATGGATGAACCAGAATCATCAGGCAATGACATTTTAGTTACAGCCAGCACTTACGAAACGTTGCCTTTCTTTATTGGTTCAAGTGATATCTCTACCACGCAGCCTGAAGATGTTATTACAGATGTGCAACCATCACACCAAACAGCACCACTGCCTGTGGCAACCAGCCCATCCCACAGCCACTCTCAGATCATCGAACAGTCCCTTGAAGTACCGGATTCCTTGGTGCCCACATCTGAGAGCGTTCCTCCCGATGGCACCGAGACGGGAGTGCAGGATATCGCTGCCGAGTTAGATCACGTCGGTGTGATGAGCACAGCAGCACTGGATGAAGTGGAGCATGGCAGTGGTTATATCTCAGTGCTGACCACTGAGCCTGCAGAAGCCACCCCAGCTCCTACGCTTAAGTATGTAACTACCAGCTCCATGACAACCGCAGCCAAAGGCAAAGAGCTAGTGGTTTTCTTCAGCCTGAGGGTAACCAACATGCACTTTTCTGATGACCTCTTCAATAGGAGTTCGACAGAATACAAAGCACTAGAACAACAGTTCATGCAATTGGTGGGTGAAAATCAACTTGAACAACATACGCAATAGTCAGGCACAGTTTAAGGAACTACACTGAAGAGCACAGCAGTTTAACAATATCAGACCCTACCACAACTCAGTCTGATAAGCTCTATTTTTAAAGGATCCATAAGCCTGGAATGCTGTCAGGGTATGAAGAAAGATTTTATGAAGTCAGCGATGAAAGTTTTTGCTTGTTCAAGAGACTCCAGATATATGCCTGGCATGTCATTTATTCGGCTTTTTCTTAGATTCACGTCAGCAGTATAGCAGTGCTGATTACATCTAAGGCTTGTGTCTACATGCTGGATTTAAAAATAGGCCTTTTAAAATATATCATAGCTTAGCAGGGGGAATGTGATTAGATATGGATTTTCTCGATGGGTACAATAGGGCAGCAGGTCAGCTCAGTAACATGCCTATTATGCTATGCCCTAACCTGCCTGGATTGAATGTTTGAAAATAATTAAAGTTGGCTTTCGAGTGAGGTGAATTTTTTTTTCTTCCAGATGAATAAACTCCCCAACTGCTGTGCATTTCATTACAGGGGAAATTGCTGCCCATCCATCTCAATACATTATTGAGAAAGACGCAAAAGTCCAGAAGAAGATAGTGCTAAACAGAAAAGTGAATTTGGTGGTGGAGTTTAACATTTGCATTAAATTCAGAGAAATAAAGCGTGCGACATGCATACTTGATAATGAAAAGTGACTGTAAGAGAAATTAATAGCAGGTAGACATTGACAGTAAGTTAAAATAAAGGCAACTTTCTGTTTTGCAGCTACTTCCATACCTTCAGTCCAACCTCACAGGTTTTAAGCACCTGGAAATACTTAACTTCAGGAATGGAAGCGTGATTGTGAATAGCAAAATGAAATTTGCCAGGACAGTGCCATACAATATCACAGAAGCAGTACACTGCGTTTTGGAAGATTTCTGTGATGCTGCAGCCCAGCGCCTCAATTTGGAGATTGACAGCTATTCCCTGGATATCGAGCCAGGTAAGATTGCATTAGTAATGTACGCGCAAACCCCAAACCCAGCAGATAATCTTTTCCAGATTGTTACAGCTTCAGGAGGATTACAGTTTTGGAAATGACGTTATTAGCAATAGCCTCCCAGTGAGCAGGAGTAATGAGAAAAACCAAGATATTGCGAATTCAACTATCTGCAGGCATATTTTCATACTATAACGAAATGCCGGGTGGAGGTGTTGGTCTATGCGTGTACACCAACTACTTTCCAGGGCAAACTACAGGGAACTAAAAGCTCTCTAGAATAAGGGCTGGGCGAAGACAGGTATAATGAATGTTCACGTGCAGTTTACAGGAAAGATGCAAAGTTTGTATAAGTCAGAGTATGTAAACATAATTTGTGGTGTTTTTTGCAATTTTTTAAGCAAACCACAGTTTCGGGCATCATTAAATCTATTTTTAAAGGACTATAGAGTTCAAGACAGACAATTTCTAGGAATAATTGGGTTCTACAGATACTCACTGACCAGAGCATTGCTATATGTAGCACTCCATAGATTTGTAATTCCAGCACCCCTCCTGATGTAATAAATTTCAAATAAGTCTGCAAGTCTGTAGCCTTTGTTAAACAGTAGAAAGTCAGTAACTGCATGTCTGGACACTACCATACTGCTGGAAGGTCCACTGGCATGGAAAAGAAAGATCCCAATCCCTTAGCATGCAGATGCCTCAAGCAGTTTTGGTTAATTTGTCTTTTTATGTACAGATCTCTGAAAATTCCAAAACAAAAATCCATTTACTCTTCATGCAGGCAGTTTCTAATCTGTTTTCATTTTTTGTATCTCCTTGTAGCCACCAAAAGCATAGGTAGTGTGTGGTAAAGAAAGTTAACAAAATCACAGTAGTGAAACTTTCAAATACCGCCCTGATAAACTGATGCTTTGCTGAATAAAAGTATTAAATGAGTTCACTAGAAAGACTGAACTTTGGGCTACCACACATTTTCTGCTTTGGTAGTAAATATTCATTAAATAAAAATTAAAATGAGAAAGTTGCTAAAATGCAAACACAGAAAAATTTAAATTCTTTCATCTTCATCTATATCAGATGCTTTACTGATGTGGTATTTCCCCATTAATTCAAGAAAACAATATCACAATGAGTTTGCTGAGAGCCGTTCTTTCAAGCCTTATAAGCAGTAGTAAAATGTCAAAATAGAAGAAATTATGTTTAGAAAGCCAGTATTTTTCCATACAGGTGTTTCAAAGCCCTACTGTCTTTTCACTTCAGAACAATAAAAAAAAAAAAAAACCACCAACAAACAAAAAACTCAATGTTATTAGTAAATTAAGGTAATTTAAGCAAATTCCTATTTATTGTGAAAGTAAGAGCCATCTAGTGGTAATAATGTTATACCAAATCGAAACACTGATGGGAACTGACAGTCCAAAATAAATATGAAGACTCAGCAGCTGCAAAAGGGCTGACTGCATTGGTCATAAATGATACTGTAAAGAATAACACAGTGGGCTTTTAAAAATACCCGCATCCTTTTTTTGTTTGTTTGTTTGTAATCTAAACAAAGTGAAGACAGAAAAGATGACGGAGTATAGCAGGTACATAGCCCAACACTTTGCTAAGGAAAATGAAATACTATAAGAAAAAAAAAATAATGACCCTCTACCCCAGTGAAATGCTCATGCCAAACTCTACTTGTCAAATAGAAACACACTGAGACCTTTCAGCTTCTGAAAACTGCAGGGCTGTAGCACATGGCCCAGGGTAATGCTTAGGCAGAGCCTGTGTCTCCTGACTGGCAGTATCAATCTTGTTTCCACTACTATAAAGGTAAAAACTGTGACTATCAAAACTGGGGAGAGACTTTCAGGAGACATGCAGTTATGCAGCTGTTACTGGTTTAATCAATTAGTCAATCATACAAACTCTTTTGTTAACCATTTTTCCTTCAGAAGTGCTTTTGCTTGGAGTGCAATTCTGTGTGGGATAAGAAAAGAATCTGGAAGAGCTAATATCTGTTTTTGATTTGCCAGTGGTTCATGTTTCATTAGACTAAACTTTGTAACTCCTACTCAGTAGTATCAATGACCAGAGCAAAGTGCTTGGGATATTTTTTTTACATATAAGCAAGGGTTTGCCTGGCAATAAAGTTACCTTGTCATTTATTGTATTACTTTGATGCCCAGTTGTTAGAGTTTACATGCACATACATTTACAGTCCAGGAGCAAAGCAGATACCAAATTAAGATGCACATTGCATACAGCAAAGGGAAATTGAGCGCACTAAAACTGACTAGTCTTAAATTTAAAAAAAAAAAAAGAAAAAGAAAAAAAAAAAAAGAGGAACTAGCCATAGAATTACAGACGGGTTAAAAGTGAACAGCTCTAACGGATAAATTTCTACCAGTTAAGTGTATCCTAATGTGTGTCTGAGATTTCCAGTACTACTATAAAGAATGCAATGCTCATTTTTCATTGAAATTAGTATTACGGAACATCTAGGGCCATCAAGTGGCTCCAGAAGAAAATTCTCAGCCCAGCTAGTACCTACAGGCACTAGCTGCAATATCCAATATGAATCTTCTTTATAAACTACAGATTTTTCGTCTTAAGCGCGCACAGGAATAGTGTGGCCAGCAGGACTAGGGAAGTGATCATCTTCCTCTACTCGGCACTGGTGAGGCCCCGCCTCCAGTACTGTGTTCAGTTTTGGGCCCCTCACTACAAGAAAGACATTGAGGTGCTGGAGAGTGTCCAGAGAAGGGCAATGAAGCTGGTGAGGGGTCTGGAGAACAAGTCTTATGAGGAACGGCTGAGGAAACTGGGGTTGTTTAGGCTGGAGAAAAGGAGGCTGAGGGGAGACCTTATCGCTCTCTACAGCTACCTGAAAGGAGGTTGTAGCGAGGTGGGGGTCGATCTCTTCTCCCAAGTAACAACTGATAGGACAAGATGAAATGGCTTCAAGTTGCGCCATGGAAGGTTTAGATTGAATATGAGGAAAAAATTCTTCACAGAAAGGGTTGTTAAGCATTGGAACAGGCTGCCCAGGGAAGTGATCGAGTCACCATCCCTGGAGGTATTTAAAAGATGTGTAGATGTAGTGCTGAGGGACATGGTTTAGTGGTGGTTTTGGCAGTGTTAGATTGATGGTTGGACTCAATCTTAAAGGTCCCTTCCAACCTAGATGACTCTATAATTCTATAATGAAAATGGGCCGGTTTAGGTGATTTCTATAGATCAGATCTTGGACCAAGTTCCTCTCTACAGCTAAGACTGCATGTGCAAATTTCCTTTGAACAGGTCCGGTGATTCAAGATCTGCTGTCCTGCGTAGCCCAGCTCATATCTGTACATCTGCTCTCATGTCCTTCTTCGTGCTCTCCTTTCTTGTCTTTGTACACTCTCTCTTTTTGGTTTTTTTGGCCTTTCTGGATTCATACGTCTTATTCAAACTGTTTGCTGGAGAGAAGAGAATTTGCATTCCCCTGTCTTTTTCTCATCTTTTGCCTTCTATCTAAGGGCTTCACCCCATAGAATGTAGGAAACTGCCTCCATGAGATCAGATTGGTGGATGCAGCCCTTCTCCTTGTCACCCCATCAGCACACAGCTGGGCTGAGCACCGAGTTAAAACGACACCTTCTGGGTCTTTTTTTCCGTTTCTAGTTAGAAGCAGAGAATGAGAAAGGAGTAGACTTGTGTGACAGATGAAGTTCGAACTTTAAGCTGTCTCTGATTTGGGCCTTCCTACAAACATCAGCAGAATCCTTTTCCTTTAATCTCACAGAAGCATCCCTTACTAATATTTGGGGGGGGGGGTGCAGGCAGGCTTTCCCAATGCTAACTTCCTACAAACATCAGCAGAATCCTTTTCCTTTAATCTCACAGAAGCATCCCTTACTAATATTTGGGGGGGGGGGTGCAGGCAAGTTTTCCCAATGCTAACACATCACTTCCAAAAAATCTCTGCAAGCACGTGTTTTCTCTAGACAGTGCCAGTACTTCTAGGTTGCAGTCCTCATAGTATTGTGCAATATTCAATAATCTAATTCCTTCCCCTTGACATGTCCTAAATTATGCGCTTAAGATGATTATAGTCAAAACTACTTCTTACACATATGCACAGTTGTCACATAGTATCCATGAGTATAAAACTAGCACTTACAGCTAAAAAAGGATAAAAATATCCAAACGTGAAGATCCTTGTCAGTGAGATGAACATGACATTGCAGTGATGGGGTAAACAAATGTACAAGTAAATATAAGCGTGCATGCTTGCTGCGTCATCTACAGCAGGGATGTATGTCCTTTTACGCTAGACTATATCCTCCTATTAACATGCACAAGTAGGAGGCCAGTAAATGAGAAAAATTTGTTTTTTCTCATTGTTGTTTGAAATTGTTTTCTCTAACTGCCACGAGTCCTGCCAAGTTACGTTCCGGGTAATGCACCAATTAATGATTTACTCATCCTTTACAGCTGATCAGGCAGACCCATGCAAATTCATGGCGTGTGACGACTTTTCCGAATGCATAATGAACGAGTGGACAAAAGAGGCTGACTGCCTTTGTAAACCTGGTTACGCAAGCCAAGACGGATTACCCTGTCGCAGCCTGTGCGAGTTGGAACCCCATCTGTGCGTCAATGGTGGGAAATGTGAGTTAGTTCCCGGAAGAGGAGCTGTCTGCAGGTAAATAAGCGGTCCTTAACATGAACTCTGTTAGAGGACCCCTGAAATGTCTATTGCATGAACAAGCAGGGCTGAGTATACACTTTTCAACAGCATAAACTATGCTAATAAGCCAAGACCTCCGTATTCAGACACTTTAAGCTATATTGCAATACCTTTTTTCAGTATAAATATTCTCGCTATGGATAAATCCATTTCTGCCTGTTGGTACACATGGAGCGTCATGATCCAGTTATTTTTTTAGAGATGCTTTAGAAATTTATTACAAATTCAGCATCATTGGCAGAGATGACAAGTACAAAACCATGCACTCTTCAGATTTCCAAATACAACTTGGAAAAATGAAATGACACATTCATGGTTCTGCTATTGATTACATAGTAGTATTTTAAGAAATTATTCTTTCTTTCTAAGTTGTATTAACAAGGAAATCTGTATTCTTAAAAACACACCTATGGACACTATTCTGACTACAGACTGCCCAATACAGCACGTGAAAGTTAAGGCTGCTTTCAGGGCTTTCTGGGAAAGACTTGAAGATCAGCAGCTCCACGTAACTGCAGACACATTCCCTAAGGATTTTTACATGAAATTATGTCAAGCCAATACTGAGAACTTGAACGTATTAATTCTCTTTTAAAAGTAGCAGGTTTCATCTCATTGTAAGAGTAAACTATCCAGAGCATTTTGTGAACCTCTGTATACCAGCCTGGCACACGGTAGTTCACAGCCGTGTATACAAGCGAGAAGCAAGTTACAATTCTTGCACTTGTTCATTCTCTCTTAACTAGGTTAATGATACATCTTCTTGTATATTTAGGATTAACATCAAAAAATAAGACTGAGCAAATTATTCATATGATAATTTCACTGTAACAACATAACTGCTATAATTCATTTTCTGCAGTGGGCATCACAGAAATGGTAATAGAAGATTATACTGAATTTACTGCAGTTACTGCTAAATTCCTGACTTGCAGAGTCCCAGCAGTGCAGCTGCAGTACTTTGTACTAGAAATCAGCCCATGAGCTAAAGAAGGCCTCTTCAAAACTCTGCTCAAGTAGCAAAGGGCATAGCCTACTCCTCCAAGACCAATGCACTAAGGAAAATAACCCCTTTCCATTTCAGAAAAGCCCTGGCTTGATGCACAGCAATAACCAAACCATCACTGAAATGATAAAAGTAATAAAAATAATAAATGAAGCTTTTTGTGAAGTAGAGCAAGTTACAAACACACAAACTTACCACCAGTCTCAGCTGAGCTGACAGCTCGTGCAAACCTGTAGAGTCTGTAGAGAGAAAATTATGGCCTATTATTTGCTTCTGCTTTGTGAATTTGTTTGCACTTGTTTTGCTTGTGAATATACTCAGTGGAAGAACTAGCGTGGTTCTAACTGGAAGCCCTGTGTTCTCATGTAAGATATGGCAATCTTCTCCCCTGCTGTAAAAGGAGCCATTTGTACTAAAACTCCCATTTCAGACCTCACTACTCAGATTCAAATCACCAATAAACAGCGTATAGGCTTCAAAGATGTGTGTTTGACATCATTACTCCAAAACACACCTGAACTTCTAAGGTCTTAAACCACAAATGTTATTTCAACTTCACCTGTGGGGCTAGAAATTTGTCAGAGATGTTTCAAATGCGTAATTTCCTTCAAATGTGTAGGTTTGCTAAGAAATGTATTGGTGTCTTTTTGTCTAACACTCACTCTCATGAATCTAAGATTTTCTTTCCTCTATTATCAGCCACATTATTTCATACAGACACACAACAATAAATTGTATTGGGAATACTCTGTTCATATTTCATTGCAGATTTTCCTTTGCTTTCATTTGAGGTACTCAGTATTTTCTGCCTTCAAGTTCTGTATATTTTTCTCTTCCTCTCCCCGTTTTAGATGCCCTGTACGTAGACACGAGCTTTACCAAGGACAGCGCTGTGCAAAATTTGCTCCAGAACCCATACAACCCTTCATTTTTAAACCTCTCATTCTTGGCTTACTAAGCCTTGTTTTTCTTTTCATCATTTTTATTATTAAGTTAAGAAGAAAAAGCAAAAGAAACTCTAATTTGCAGTAAGCTGCTCACGATCTTTTTTTCTTCACATTTCAAAATATTCCTTTTTTCTTTTGCAATTTAAAATCTCACCTAAACAAAAATGTTCTGCATTGTAGAAGTCCTACTCTCAACAGCTGCAATTCAGAAAATGCTGTAAGGATTAATCCTGCTTTTGAACACGATGAACCCATAACTAGGTTTTGTCATACGGCTCGTAGTGTAAGTGCCTGTGTCAGTTCCTCAGAGATCACTGATCACGAAGCGTTACATGAACTTGAAAACACAATTCAGCGTGGAGGTAAAACGCATGGAAATACTCTTCTTACCCCTCAACAAATGGCCCCACCTCAAATAACAGGTCCACCTTCACGTATTAACTCTACCACTAAAACTAATTTGATTCTCATCTCTTGCTTGGCAATTCAGAACTAAAAAGACTAATTCATTTATTTGCTTTCCACATCTACTGCTGTGCAGGTTTCATAACGGGATTGTAGAACTGCTTTTCTTACAGCTCCCTTGCATGGCTTTGCCAGTCCATCCTATTTGTGATTTAGTGAAATAATTAATCTAGTGGTTTCTTTTTTTCCCTTTTTTTTTTTTTAAACTGTTGTAGGTCACCAGACCAGTTTACAAAGCCACGACTGACAAGTTAAGTCTCTGAACTTCTTCATTTCCAGCATCAGCCAGACAAACCCAAGGTTTGTGACTCTTTTCAAGAGCTATAAAAATCTGTTAAGTTTCCTGTTTGTCAGTGTTACCAGGCAGCCTCTTTGTACGAATTCCATACAAAGAAAAGCTTGTTTTTCTTTGGATGCTTGATATGACAACAACAATCCCTTCTTAAGTGCTTTTATGCAACAACGTTCCATTCTGTATACTCATTTGCTGAAACACATGAAGGAGGACTATGTAAAATGAAAAAAGCAACACAAAATGCAAACTGAAGGTGAGGTTTTAATAGGAATAACAGATTATTTAAAAATAATTTGTGCCTGCTTCAGCTACATAAGAGTTTGAGCAAGCAGGAACTCCAATTTGAGCAGAATACTGCTCATAGCTCAAATATTATTTCAAGTACAGGACACTTCCTGTATCTTTGAGAGGAACAAAAAAAAAAAAAAAAAAAAGGAAGAAGAAAAACAAAGGGGAAAAGCCAAGTGAAAAAATTCTCTGAAAATGCCAGACTGTCTCTTAATGCTGATGTATCCGAGTATGCTCTCTTGAAAGGAAGACAAAAAGCTTTTACTTCACTATTTTCATTTCTCCGAATCACTGCCCAAATAGGAACAAAAAGGTTTTACTATAGCTGTTTGTGTCCATTCTTATTGAGGGACATATCAGTACAGGATTGCCCTGGCACTACAGGAGACAGGATACCGGGCTACAGCAATCTTTGGCATGAGCCAGTACACTGTTATGTAAATGAAGAAACAAGTAACGATACTGGAGAGAAAGGTTTATTTTCACCGATCTTCATCAAACAAGAGGATTCCTGCCCAGGTCTGGTCTCTTCAAGGGACTCAAGGTGTCAGTTACAGACTGAGCTGACAAGTGGGGGGACTGGAATGCAGCAATAGAGACCGACAAATCAGCAGGAGCAGCAGTTCGGAAAAAGCTCAAGAAGGAATTGGCTTTGCTGCCGATAAAAAAAACAAGTGCACAGATGTTTGCAATTAGTATTTACACCCATCTTAAAAGAAATGTGCCTGTGGGTAATTGTAGACCGATAAACTTTCACACCAGCTGAACTACTGCTGCTAATTGCGAACGTTTGTTTTGGCCATTTTTCACTATTACTTAAGTTCAAAATGAGTGTTTACATCACAGCCCTTATGTTGAACACATTTTTAATGACTTGATAAAAGACGATGGAGAAAGAAAAACGTATGTGGAACACAGCTTTCATTTGCTGAAACTAAGAGCACCACTTCCAGACTACAATCTAGAGAACTCCTTTGGGGCTACGATTTTTAAAACTTGAATTGAATTTTCAGGAGGAAGTGGACATCTAGAACTATGAGGTCAAATTGAAAATTCCAATCTTTAAATTCCATTTTGCAATGTGTAATGGCAGCAGTGACAGCTTTTTAGGACATTATCTACAGTAAGTACAGCTCTGTATTTATAAAGATGTATCTAAAAACAAGCATAAAATTCCAGTAGAAGCCAAAATAACCTTCAGTTCATTCCTAAGCATGAAAAATGTCTCCAGTTTAGTTATAGTGTCACTCCACAGAAAATGGTTGCAAAATCTAGTTATCGGGGGGGGGTGGGTGGGTTGGTTGGGTTTTTACCCAGTTTGTCACCCAGGAGTTAACAAACATGTTTCACATCCAGGCAGAGAACGTGCTCTTCCTTCTCTCTGAGCTCAGTAGAAAACACAAGCTCTTGCAAGCAGCTGAAAGCCGCAGCTACCTCTCTAGAGGGTCAGGTCTCTGGCAACTTGGTGTGTCTTGCTCCACAGAGCATATATAATGTGAGGAACAGAATGACTGAGAGAGTCATCTTTCCTTGGGCCAAAGCGGGATGTGACAATGAGCAAGAATTTACACATTCAAGTGGATCAGCTGGTTCAGACTGAGCCATAAGGCCAACCAACAAGTCCACACACAGCTGACCTACTACGGTTGAAAGTCAAACATGCCAAAGCTCTCTAAAAACGATCCTGCTGATCTCAGTCTCTGCTGCCTTCCTCACCTACACATGTGCTCTCTGCTCCTTTGAGATGAAAGCTGAAGACACCACCTCATTCAAAATGCAACTTTTCTCTTGTAATATCTGCTGTCCCTATTAGTGACTGTGCTGGACCTTCTCTAGTTAGTGAAAAAGATGCTGAAAACTAAAGCACGCTGCTTTTCAGCCGTAAGGGTCTTAGGTCAAGCTGCCTGTAAAGTCTATTATTTTTCAGTCGATCTAATGGATGCTATTCTATAAACTTGTCATTTACTTGTGCTCGTACATGGCATGGGAGAGTAGGCTTCTTTTTCAAGGTGTTATCTGGCAAAATTCAGTAATGGATCTAAGCCTTGAAAAGAAAAAGGCTCTTATCCAAAGAGTCTTCACAAACTTTTCTAATCTCACAAAAGAACTGTGCTGCAACAGACACCACAGAAAATCAGTTTTAACACACTTAGATAAAACCTTAGAGGATCCAGAAGTATTTGACACAAAATAGCCCAGAAGCATTGGAAATACAGCACTGAGTAAGAAGATGGTAGAATGTGTTGTTTCATAATGCTGAATCTAACCGGCATGACAAAGACCACTTCATTTGATGTAATTCAGATGAAGCCTAAAAGTTATTATAGATTCTAAGAAATACATAAAATACATCATTCTCTGCTCATCAAAACCAGTAAGCGACAAATAGCATGATCCTCTGAAAAACTGACTCTCAGCCACCAAGAAAGATGACTGAAATTAAATTTGAGGAGAAAACAAAGACCGCCATTTGTTTCATCCTCATGTCAGCCACTTGGATCATCAAGCAAACAATATTTTGGATTGAAACACCACAACAATCCAAGGTAGCCTCTTAAATCTCCCCCACCAATATCGGCGATTTCGTGTTTCGTTACCAGAATCACGGGGGAAAGACGACCTAAAATACCCCACAGAGGTGGGAGTGCTGTGCTTTTAGTTCATGAATACCAGGTGTCGGGTTTTACACACCCAGAAGTCTGCACGGCACAGCTGCCGCTCTTACACTTAAAACAATGCACAGAAGCTGAATGTGCCAAAGACTATTTTATCCCAGGTCTGCTGCAACTGTGAATCTCGTAGATACTTTTGATACAGCTTCTTTTGTAACACACTGCATTCTAATTATTTTACAGTCAAAAATACGTTCTTCAGATTATGATGATATGGGTAGTACTAGTTTGTTATTTCATACAGAAGCACAGCACCGTTATACCAGAGAGGAAAAATAATAATTTTACTCTGACCTCAATGACTTAGTGTGTAAAAGAACTTCAGGGTTAACTCAATTCTCCTTACAAGGAACTGGAGTTTATCTCAACAGATTTTAGTGAGATCTTGCCTACTAGCGGTAGATCAATAGTACATTTTCAAATTCAAGAATGCTTTTCAAATGTCTTATGAGAGTTTCTCTTACAGGTACTCAAAACAGGCAGCCTGCATTATTCAAGACTGGACTTCAGGCTGATTGTGCATATGAAAAGAATTCAAGGATTCCTAAAGATGTAACGTTTTAGCTCTACAATCAGTACACATGAAACAAATTGTTTTATTAAAAAAAAACAACATGACCAAGTTGACCGACTATTTGACCATGTCTAAAATTTGGCTAGTAAGAAGCCACCAGCGTTAAGGCACATGTGTGAAACATCCAGTGCTTACACATCTTAACTGTACTATTATTTAAAAGCCGACTGTTAGAAACAGATTTTACTGAGAAGTAACTTTTTTCAATATTGTATGTCACAAGCGTTCTGGTAAAAATGTCGATGAAACTTTACCGCATTTCTATACCCTTTTATTAACCTTCCTTACATACACCGATCTAAGGAGCAAACTCGGAAATAAGAGCTGTCATTGACCAAAGGCCACATTAGAAGCGTTTGGGGACTTTTTCATTGCCTCCCTACAATGCTCACACTGCAAACCACACAGAAGCTGCGATCAATTTTTTTAATGGTTTCTATGAACGTCAGATTCCTATTTTTCTGTTAATAAATACATTGTGTATACATCTGTACATAAACACTTCACTGCTCAACTTCTGGTGACAGTTTAACCGTCATATCCTATGAATTCAAACTTTATGCTGAGGCACAATACTTGCAGTTTCATCTTTTCAGAACATGAGATTTAGATTCACAAGCACCCTCTCAGTAGCAAGTAGGTTACAGAGTCGCACTTAAGCATGTACAGTTTAAACTCAGTATACACATAAATAATTTTGAGAGGTTACTATTAGTTTTTGTGGAAAAAATATAAGCAGACAATGGGTGGCCATTTTATAGGCTTAGTAATTTATGCTCTATGGATCCACAATCCTGATTCACGTACGAGCATTACTTTACTTTGAACTTTTCTTGAATATATATGTATTTATATGCTGCACCAGTGTTGTCCAATATTGAGGCACTGTTTGCTGCTTGGTGCATACCAGAAGTTGTACTTACAGCTCAGACTGAGCTTCTACAAAGTTCGTGACTATACTGGATGACAGCTCCTCATTCAGGTGTGAAACTTTCACGTATTCAGGACAGTAGCTGATTTTAGTGATGATTCTTTTTAGTTCACACCATACAATTACCACAGCAAAGACTGAACTTCAGTTTACCTTATTATGTACGCTCAAAAGAACTGTTTACAAATTCCAAACAATTAACTGCACAAACAGATTTGCCTGCAAAGCCACCAAAACTGGTGATTATGTACAAATGAAGGCAATGCACCAAGAATACAAGGTTGAGTTTCTACAGCTGAAATAGAGTTTTTACTTTATTTAACTAGAAAAAAAAATAAAAAAGAAACCTAAGATGTGGTTTTACACAGTAACACTTCAGACTAAAACTCTACTTTACAAATACTTCTTGCAGGGCACTGGAAGCCATCCCTGCCAACAAATGTTAGCTTTTCACTACTGCTCATGTAAGTTAAGAACGCATTAAGAATGCTAAAAGCATTCCATTTTTTTTCCATTACAAATGTATTTTTGTATGTGTTTAGTATATTTCAATTCCTACGAGTTATCACTAGTCAGATTTAAAAAATAAGTAATTTTAAAATGTGTATTTTAATAATGATTATTCATGACTGTATTTATCACTCTCAACTATTAATTACCAAATATATTTGCTGGATGTAAGCCTTTTGTATTTCAATAAAATATAATAAAACTATTTACTTGAAAATTTCACAGGGAATTGAACTGGTATTTAATCTCACTCTATGACACATCACATTATTTTAAAACTTATGCAAAGCTACAGTTGGAAACAAAAGCCATAAGGAAAGTGAAACAAAATTGTATCTCCTAGATATCAAAGCCTGAATTACTTCAACCTTCTTAAATTTAAAAAAAAAATACCACTCTGATTTGATCCTTAAGAGGAAAGTTTGATAACACTTTTTAAAAAAAAAACAAACAAAAGCAACACCAGTCCCCCACCCCAAACATAAAGCTCTTCCTGCAGCATACAAACTTGAAGAATCGTAAGTGGTTTCACTAGTCACTGACAAAAAAGATGCAAACAGTACACAGCATAGCAAATGGTAAAGATGCTGGAAGTGATGGCAATAAAGGTTAAAAAATAGTAATAGAAGTAAAAAGATACTTGTTTCAACAAATACTGAGAAACAAGGTATGAGACTTAAAGATAACAAAATCAGAACTTCTTAATATCAGAATGTTATTTTAGAGGAACAGTTACCTTAGAAAGTAAAAGCAAAATCTTACTAGAATTGCTTTAAGCACCATAAACATTTGATTGAAAAACATTAGGCAGTTCCAGCACAGAAATCCTTTTATCCCTCTCGTAACTTAATTTACCCTTACTCATTACACTTTAAATCTCTAAAGACAAAATGGTAAGAGAGATACAACTGAGATTTCAACATGGAATGTATTTCTTTATTTTTTTTTTTTAAATTTTCAGTACAGTATTAGGTGGTCATTTAAATACTTTAAATAAAGATTTTGGAGAAAAACCCAAAAGATTCAACTAGGTAAAGAAAAACAATCTTATCAGCGGATGAAAGACAAGTATTTAATGACCTTGTGATCCTTGAAGTAGCATTCTCTAGACAATTCATATTCCTGGGTCACCTAGTCAGGAATGTGTAGCCTGGCGTGGTGATTCACTTCCTCTCCCTTGTTTTCTGGAGTGTTTCATGCAGAAGATCTCAACTATAGCGGAAAACTTCACTGAGAGGCATGAAATTATCTTTTTTAAAAAATCAAGCATACAGAACCAAGCCAACATGTTTACCGCATCATATTCCTTTAAAAACCAAATTACATTTTTCTCTATAACTGTTAATCAGAAGAGCATTAGGTAATACTAGAACCCTACTATTTCCTCTCCTTATCAACCAACAGTATAATTATCTGACACAGTAGATGGGACAACGGAAACAATCGGTGAGCAGCTGAATATTGCCTGACATTGAAAAAATCTGAAATGAACTGACAATTAATTCTGTTGCACAGGAAGATCAGTAAAACTAAAGCAGATGCTGCTTTTGGTGCAGGGGCGGGGGGAAGCGTGCTACTGGACAAACTAGAATACCCTGATTTTTGGAATGCATCTTCTGCTTGCCTCAGGCATACTGCTGGAGCAACGGAGAGAGGGAGGAACATCTTGTTTGAGAACATCCAGGCGCCAGTTTCTCTTCCACTGGTTCAAAGTCAATTTTATTTTCCGGATAGCTCATATTTGTTAGTCATTTAGTTAATCAGAATTCCCATACACTCCATTCTGAAAAATAAATTTTCTTTCTCATGCCAGTCAAGGAAATCCTGGCATAATCAAAGGAACAGACAGGAAAAATTCAGTCAACAATTTTATTTAGGTTCCCCACAAGTATGCTTACACATATATATACTAAAATATTTAAGCATATATACGTGTATAGACATAGACATACTCTTAAGTATTGAGGTTCTTTGCTTACCTTGTTCAGTCTCCTAAAATCTGTTTTTTTTATATATATATAAAATGAGACTGAATGTATTAAGTCAAGAAGTTAAATCTAGACAGTAATAAATACAGGGTAGGGCACCTGAGCCCTATCAGTTCAGTGATTTTTCTTCCTCCTATTGCATGAATGATCACAGCTTCCTGCAGTGGTAAGTTTCTGGAGACCGGAAGTTCTGAAACTTTGCTGGTTTAATGTGTAACTGAATTGGAACCAATCTAAATTTCATAAGCTGTACCTTTTAACTCATGCAACACCATACAGGTTTGCACAGAAGTGGCTAGCCAGCAGTCTGATGCACCTTCATCTTCCAGCCAAAAATTACTGCTTCAGTGAAGAATTTGGGTAAAATGAAAATGTTTTCTTGTTTGCAATCACATGACCAAAAAGTAGACTGGGTACACAGCGGATGCTGAGATTCCCTGATGCAGCAGCTTCATACAGACTTAATGTATTACTCAAATGTCTCCACATGGATTCCAGTAAGGAGTGCACTTATAACAACCAGCAGACTGTGGCATGCAAGCACAGTCTAAGGCCAGCAAGGATGTATGTACGCATCGTGAGCTTCCTCTGTGCTACAGAACTGCACCTCTTCAAAGTTATTGATTAAGTATAGTTATGTGTTTAAAAACTAAAGCTTCCAAGAGGTTTAAAACTGTGTCAACAGTGAGGAAATTATTTTATAGTGTAAGGAAACTTTGTCTATTCATAGAGCTAGACTTCATTTTTAAATCAGCTGGAATAAGTAGTTGGACACCAAGCTACTTATATTTCAAATTCCTATCAGAGAGATAACAAATAATCAAGTTTAATTTGTTGAAATAATGGCCAGCATGGTGAAACAATGTTCATGTAAGTGAACAAGGTGTATCTTAAGACTGTACGGTATTAGTAATTCCCACCCACAAAAACTCCCAGAACAAACTGCTTAATAAGGGAGCTGTTACAAGCTATGAAACTCAAGAGAGGAGATTAAGATAAAGCTCAGTGTCCGAATCCCTATGATATTCCAGTATACTAAAATTGTAGCTATTTCATCAGCACATAGCAAGAAGATGATGCATTATGTTATTGGACCAAATTTTTTATGCAATCTAACAAAAGGTACAGACCTTGTGCATCTCATTACAATTAAAATAAACAGGATGTCTGAGGCTCAGGCCTCAGTATAATTCAGTTAAATTATACTGCCACCAAAAAACTGAACATATTTCCCTTATGCTATCCATAATCTTATATGCCTCCAGATGTACATCTTGGACATTTTTGTATAATATGTTGAAATTATACTACCCGGATAAACAAACTGTCCAAGAATTCCTAATGGAAATCTGGTCAGAAAAATAGAAGTCTAAAGGAAATTTGTACTTCAAGAGAAAAAAAGAAAAAGAAACAAAGAGAGAAGTGGTATAAGCCCTAATGATCACTATATTCTTTGAGTACCTCCAATATTACACATTATTGTCATATGTGAATGCTCTTCTCAGAAGGTACAGAAAACCATTTCTCTTAAACCAAGACAGAGAATGCATTAAATAGGAATTTATGGGTCTCAAGTTTAGGAGGATTTCCCATCAGTTTCTGAAAAAGTCAGTAAATACAGACACTAACCAGTTTTCAAATCAGGACATTAAAATGTCTCAGATTATATAAAAGCATACTCCAACTTCTCCAGAACAGAAGTCAAAGCTAAGGCCTCACAATTCCAGTTAGTAGAAACAGCATATCCTCTTTACTAGGCCACCACTTAAAGCCAGCTATACAGTGTTTTAAAAGGGGGATTTTACAAGAAGGTGGTTGCAATGCAGTTCTTTGTAATATGTACCCAAGTATAGACAGATTGTTTAAACTTGTTAACAGTTATAACAGAAACTGTTAAAGAAAATGCAACATAAACAAAATGCAACAAGCTACACTGACTGAAATTGCTTCAACATCCTCATACCTAGTAAAGTTCACTACACAAATTAAACATCATAAAGTACAAATTAACAAACCACATGATTAATAAAATCTGTTCACTTTATATTAAACATCTCTAATATGATTATAGAATGTTTACGTCCCCTGTTGTGCAGAGGAGCTCTTCCCTTTGTGTCACGGGCAAGGGTTCTCATCCCAAATGCTACTGTGCAAAATGACCGTTTATTTCAATAGGTTCTGCAGCATAGCTGTAGCATATGTAGGACGAGCTTGTCTGCTTTCAATTGCATTTTGAAGATACTGGATACCTCCACAGCGCTCCCAAATTTCTTCAAACTGCCTCGGCAAAATTTCAGCACCTCGCTTTCGAGTTAAGCCAGTCTCTTCAAGATTAAGCTCACACATATCCATATCGTCCTTACCTGAAATGGTAAAGGGAAAAAGAAAAATCCTTATATAAAGCTTTTACATCATTCAAAGGTCCCATGAACAAATATTAGATCTTTGTTAATTAGATTTCCTCTCTCAAGCTCTGGTTTGTTAATAGACTTCAGAGCTTATGGGGAAATCAGTCCTCAAACACAGAATATATATTTATTTTTTTTTGGTACACACAAGAGCAGAAAAGCAGTATCAGAATAAACTAGTATCAGATGCTGCAACTGACAGAATTGTGCTTAAAAAGAAAGCAAAAAAGAAACAAAGGAAAGAAGCCAGAAAGATCAGCATCTTCATACATTCTCCTGAAATCCACTACAGGATGACAACCGCATTTGTTTAACACACACTTTCTGTTTTACATTTTCACAGTGGACTTTTGTTATTACTTGTTTAAATGTAGCAAAGCGACTAAGAAGCCAAGACTTTTGATCAAGTAGTCAGCATTCTTAATCTGCCAGCCTCCCATGATAAACAAACGATGTTTACCGAATGGGACTGACACAGGGAATCCAATGAAATGATGAGTGTAGCTCACTTGCTATGTTTTAATCTTATTTTAATAGGTAACCCACTGAATGTGGTATTCATGACAGCAATGCTACTTTTAGCGATGGGCTTTGACACTGAACAGGCAACAGCTGGTATAAGGAATACTATTAAAAATAATTAGCAGAAACCCAAGGAACTTTTGTCACTAGTAAAGCATCACTCTGAAGCTAAACAAATTGGTTGTGGCCTTTTACTCAGTTCCCAAGTAAGTAAAAACCTCAAACCACAGAACTGTAAACAGCATTTCTCTAGTGTTGCCTCCCCCTTTCAGTATCCTCCAGAAAAGCAGGATACATTTCATTACCAGATAAATCTCTACCTATCCATTGCCACATTTACTTTTTATCTTAAATGTTTAAGACTAAGAAGTTATTCTCCCACACTAGGTAAAAGCATCAGTTTGCTATTAGCACCATACTATGGAAAGAAAGACAATATATCATATGCACAAACTGCTTTGATACAAACTGCTGTAATTTTTCAAAACTAACTAAAAACCAATACAACGATGAGTAGAACTTTCCCAGATAAATTGTGATGTTTTATCTTCAGGCTATCTCCAGTTCAGTGAATAATCTGAGGACACTTAATAATAAAACCATCCACACTTGGATTTCCACTCTGTCTGTGACTTCCCAGATTAAAGTACATGTACAAGTAAAACACATAACCAGTTACAACTCCAAATGATATTCCATAATATCTGGCCACTATCAACAGCAGTCCCAAATCCTCAAATTGTGCCCATATAAGAACTGCTGATGAAAAATAGAGGATACAACTTGGGAAGCTTTTATCATCAGCCTCTTCCTCTAAAGTAAGTTATTAGCTCTGAACCTTTTCAACACTTGAATTTCGCTTTTAATACCAACCCGCTACAAGGAGAATGGGTGCCTTGTCAGGATGAAGTTCCATTTGTCGAGCAATCCACGGCCCATCAAAATGCGCATACCACCAACCCTTCTTCTTGTTCTGGGGATCTTTGTATTGGTCTGCAGGACGGATGAAGGGAATGCGGAAGTAGCGCTGTTGTCTGTTTATTTCAATCTCTTGTTGTCTGGCTGGTAGCTGGGTTGTGGGGTTCTGTTGAGCTATCATACAAAAAAACCCAGAAAACAAGCAAACAAAAAATAGAAGAAAAAAAGCTGTATTATGACTTGCTTGATTAATCAGCAAAGTAAGAAAAAGAACACAAAAACCAAACAAACGAAAAAAACAAACAACTAAAAAACAAACAAAACCCCAGAAAACCTGAGAGATTCTCTCTGAATACAGTCTTCTGAAGTCTCACCAAACCTAAAAAGTATTCCAGTCTCATATAATGTGCATTCTTTTAATTACCACAGCTACAACACTGGTGAGGAAAGGCTCGTGTTAACTATTGTATCTATATGTAACACTAGATTGTTCAATGGCATCAGGTACTTTTAGACAAAACAGAGTGACTAAAATAACATATTCTGCTTTAAGTCAATTTTTAAGGTGAGACTTCTCATAAAATTTCTTACCAACCAGAAACAGTAACCGACAACTGCCCTAGTTCAGTCCATCTCTTTATAAAACAAGGTCACAGTGCAAAGAAGCATTTTCAGTTTCAAAAAATAAAGCACTACTTGCAGATTTTTGACAGTTAACACAGTAGGGTGTGTAATACTGTTAGAAATAACTTATTTGTTAATAGAAATGCTGACAACAAATAACGCTTATTACAAAGCTGCCACAACCATAGCTTTCTGCCTAGATTTCTGTGTACTAAACTCCAGCATTAGAACTACTCTCTGGCTGCTTTCTTTTTTAAAGAAATTGTTTATTTCAGACCATTAATTTCAACTGACCAAACTTCTAGAGGAGACAGAATTATACAAAATCTTTTAAAGCTTCATATATATTTTTGGTAAACATTTCCCATAGGCATTTTTGGATGGCCTCAGAGTCCCACACATTTCAGACGTTGGAGAGAAACTTCCTTTTGAATAAAAGCAAATACGCTCTGTGTTAACTCATCAACTGATCCACCTTCTTAATGTTATGTATACACTATTACAATCAGTTTTAAATAGTAAATGCTCTTACAAGCAAGATCCTTTCCTTTAATAACTGCCTCTTGCAAAAGTTTACTACTGATCTTGTTTTAGTGGTTTACAAAACCACTGTTACAAACACAGTGTTTAAGAAATTCTGATTGTGAATCTATGCGATCTCCACAAAAGAAAATCAGTATTTATAGTTCTATGTTTCAGCATAACGGGAATAATTGAAAGTTAATTCCTTTTTTGTCCATTGTCTATTAAGCAGCAAAGTTAATTTTTGAGCTAAAAATTAATAAAATGAAAAATTACAATCACTTCTAATTAATGTGTTTTTACAGTTATGAACAATACCAAAAGATTAGCAACTGCACCTTGACTTTTTTTTCCACTTAATATCAAGCAAAAATAGTTTTTCTAAATGTGAAGTCTTAAAAAAAAAAAATATGTATTATACAAATCATACTACCCAATTTTTTTTTCCATGTCTACATAAACAAAGAGAAGAAAACCAGAACAGATTTTAATAGGCAAATGCTACTTTTACACATCAACTCTGATATCAAAGCATGTACTTTACAGGGAGACATAGTTTACAGTTTATAAAAAAAATTAATTCTATTTTCTGCAAATTGTCTGAACAACTATCACAGCACATCAGTGCTTTTGTATCGGCAAACACTTCTTGCACTGCAATGGTAATTACTAAGGCTTATTTCTACCCCTATGCATACCTAAATCCAAGAGGAAATCTAAAGGACAGGAATACTAAGCAGCAAATAGAGCTTCTACTTTTCAGTGCTATGGAACTGTAGTTTTTTATTCAAAAGAAACCATCACCTGTATGTTAGTTTGTGTGCTAGGAAAATAGCTGTTATATTAAGTTGATTCCAGAGTTTTGCTACAACAAAAAGCCATGTTCAGACAGTAAGAAATATTAAAACAAGCATGATATTTTTTGGGGGGGGAGGGTGG